TACCCTCACTCCCGGGTTCTTGGAGGATGTTAGGGTGGCCACCTCCACGCTTTTGAACTTTTACAACCGTCACAGGGAAGGTCTTCTGGCCCACCAACGGACGGTGGAAGAGGATGCATACGGGAAAGCTGTGAGTGACTAACAATGATTTGTTGACTGAAATTGGATCTCTTTCTCCTACAGGAACGATTTGTATGTTTGCTCATCGACAAGAATATGTGGTATAACACGGCCCAGTGGCTCAACCACCCTTGGATTTTGGCGTACACGGAAATGGCCCGAGCGGGACCATCGGTTGATTGGACCAAAATGTTCTCGATCCCACAACCCACCACCCCTACCTTCTTTATGGAAGGTTATGCCGGTCCCTCTCCCCCTTTACCTCCATCTTCGACCGATTCATTGCTCCCAGTCACAGTCCCAACTCCCCCATTGCCGGTACCGACAGCTTCATCATCGCTCCTGGCCCCAACAAAACCAACGCGTCAGGCAAAATCAACCGATCCTGTGCCAGCAGCTGAAACGAAGTCCAAGAGTAAGACAAAGTCTGGGCGAAGGAAACCCAAGGCCGGGTCCAGCGCCCAGCCACAATCAGAGGTGACTCCTAACAACACCGCTGCCCCAGTCCAAAGCAAAAAAAGAAAAGGGGACTCGATCGAAGCCAGGCCAAAGAAGACCAGAGTCGTGAGCGCGGAGTTCATCAACAGCAGCAGTGATGAGGAAACATTGAAGCCGAAGTCGGAGTCACTTCGACCGGTTGGTGGGGAAGCAAAGGCGGTTAAACCCAAGTCCCAGCCCCATTTCTCCCGCATGACACCCAGTGCCGGCTTCAGTCTCATCCAAAGGCCCAAGTTAGACCCCGACGCCAGTCCTCCCAAGACCGCCATGGCCGCTTTAAGGCAAGCCAAAACTGCCAAACGTCTTGCAAATCAGAATGCCGCGATTGCAAAAGGCAATTATCAGCTTGCGGATATCCCCTGTGAGGCCTGCAGCAAACGCCAAGATCGAGACATTGTTCCATGCGCTATCCATTCCCCCCCACAACAAGGATCCTGCTTCACCTGCAGTATGGGTAAGACGACCTGCACATATGCAGTAACCAAGAAAAAGGACACCGACAGTGAGGTCGAAGACGAGATCCAAAAGGGGTTGCAGGATCTTGAAACGGCCACAGTCTCCAGGGGAGATGCCCAAGTGAAGATTGTGAGGAAGAAAGCGAGGTCAAAGAAGCCGCAGGTGAAGAAGGTGAAGCCGGATGTCAAAGAGAAGGGCAAGGAGGATGTCGAAATGGCCGCAGTCGGGCATGATGTGGAGCATGCAATTGACGTGGACATGGAGGTTGGTCTGACAATGGGAAAGGGGAAGTCCGAGGGTGGTATCGACATAGAGATGGCCGAAGTCAAACATGAGGAAACCGAGGTCGGTGCCATTCCAAAAGCCGACAAAGATGTGGGCCGGGTGACTCCCACCATAATCATTGAGCCACCCACACCACACACATCAGCGATTTTCAAGAGCACTGAGACCGAGGTCGGTACCAACACTGACAAAGGAAAGGGCCGGGAGATTGGGCCGCCAGCCAGTGAGATGGA